CATTGGCACGTGGATTCTGTACTAGTAATGTCACTTGGGAAGCCCAGACTGAAGGGTACCCTTAGTCAACTCAACTCAAATTTGAATTCTAATACTTTCAGTTCAGTTCGGTTCAGTTGGAGTCGCATCCGGCTCTTTGCAACCCCAACCGAACTGAGCTGAAAGTGTTAGAGTTCAAATTTGAGTTGAGCACAGACTGAAGGGTACCCTTAGTCAACTCAAGTTTGAACTCTAACACTTTAAACAAACGTAAATCATTCCTAATTTTGTTCCTCACCCTTTTGTTCTCTCTGTGATCTTCCATTTCTGCTTTTTCCTTATCAGTCTACCACCCTCCCTAAGAAATCACCCTGAACATCAATAAACAGGACCAAGGCCCATCAGCTTTACCTCTTCTGAAATACTTCATTAAATCACACATACGCCTCTGTTTTCCTTCCTTTGTTTAAAATGTTGTGGGATAAAATGATGTGAGCACAGACTAGGATTTGAAGATTTTAGAAAGCCTAAAATGAAAACAAACCAACTATTTTATTAGGATTTGAGATTTTTTTAAGAATAAGAATTTTTAACCCATAGCTATTATCTTCACCATACCATGTGCTAAAAAAATCAGCATTTTCTGCACTGATATTAAAGTTGTATAACATAAAGAAATGTATTACTGCATACAATATATAAAGTTATTCAGGAGGAATTTTTTTGCTTCTCTTCTATTTCATAGAGCTGGACATAAAGATAATTCCATGGTAGGAACTCAATGAAAGGTAAACACTAAATAGAATTTGAAGGCTTTTCTTTTTTAATATTGAATTTTAAATTTAATCTTTCACACGAGAGAGACACTATTCTCACCTAAGGTAAGATTTCTTGCTGGCATAGTTTAAATTGGCCATAGCAGTTGCGTTCCCATGTCCTCACCCTAATGTTAGTGTTGATTCCACATAAGTAGAGCTTCTCTTTAAAGCTATTCCACTGAAAATAGAATCATATTAACACACTTAATAGGATTTTCCAAAAATTATGCATTCTGAGGAGAAAATGCACTAAATGAAGTCAATTAAGTATACATGAGTTAGAAAATGCAAATAAATCCACAAAGAATACCTATACACACCCAATAGAATGCTTAACTTGAAAAGGCAAGCAAAACAAATGTTATCAAGGACACACAACTTGAACTCTCAGACATTGCCGGTGAAAAGTGTAAAATGGTGCAACCACTTGTAATAAAGATTTAGAAGTTTTTCATACAGTTAAATATACCCTACCCTGTGACCCAGCAATTCTGCTCCGACTTAACTCAAGAGAAATAAAACATACGTCCACAAAAAAGACCTGTATAGGAAGGTTCACAACAACTTTATTTATGATAACCAAAAACTAAAATAACCAAAACGTCTACCAATAGGAGAATGGAAAACAAATAATGATACATTCATGTAATGGAATACTACACAGCAATTAAAAAGAACAGACTTCCTATACATACAACAAGAATGAATCTTGCAGATAGTATGCTGAACAAAAGGAGCCAGACACAAAATAAGAGTGCATACTGTGTGTACTTATTAGAAGTTCTATAATAGGCAAAACAAACCTGCAGTTAAAAACTTAAAAGGTAGTTACTTTTGCTGGAATATTACTGATTGGAAAAGGGTCAAGAGAAGAGAAATCCCTAGGAAATTATCTTAAGAGGGATATGGGTCACAAGGGTATGTGTATTTTATCAAAATTCATCAAATGGTACCCTGAGGACTTACAAATTTCACTCTATATAAATTTTACATTATAAATAATAACATTAATAACTATAAACAACAATCAAACTCTAGTTAGTTAGCCTGCTTATCCTGATGATATGAGTAAGCAATTTTTAAACTACTTACTGTGTGTTGTAGCCTCAGCAATTGAGTACATATACTGAGGATAATGGAAGCTAGGTGACTCACTACTCGAGAAGCCAGTAACAAACATGGAGAGAAAAAAGATAGGGATGTTCCACAAGTGCTAGATTGAAATGATGGGTATCAGTAGAAACATGTGGTTCTTGTTAGAGAGAGAAAAATACAAATATGTGTATGTATTTGTAAATATGTACATTTTAGAAGCTATATTATATAGGTATTATACTAAGTGCTAAGTCACTTCAGTCATGTCTGACTCTCTGCAACGCTATGGATTGTAGCCCACCAGGCTCATCTTATCATGGGATTCTCCAAGCGAGAATATTGGAGTGAGTGGTCATGCCTTCCTCCAGGGGATTGAAACCACATCTCTTGTTGTCTCCTGCTTTGGCAAGCAGGTTCTTTACCATCAGCACCACTTGGGAAGCCCATTGTACTAAATACACATGTATATTTCCTAATTCTATCTGCTGAGATGGTTTATAACCAATGATATATCTTTATCAATGAGCACACATAGTGCCCATATCTTGATTTCTAAATACCTCTGTCCTCTTAAAAGATCCAGGGCTCCTTGGACAGAAAATTGATTAGGAGTAGAACATGAGGAACCTGGAGCATCTGTTTGAAGGAGAAACTGAATCTATCCTCAAATAAAGACAGAGACATATTAAGCTGACAGAGGATCCAGTTCGAAGGGACTACTGCTGCTGCTAAGTCGCTTCAGTCATGTCCGACTCTGTGCGACCCCATCATGGAATTCTCCAGGCCAGAATACTGGAGTGGGTAGCCACTCTCTTCTCCAGGGGATCTTCCTGACCCAGGAATTGAACCAGGGTCTCCTGCACTGCAGGTGAATTCTTTACCAGCTGAGCTACCAGGGATGCCCCAAAGTATCTTCCCACAAACTACTTGTTGTATTTACCAAGGGAAACCATCTTCTGAACACTGGAGAAAGTTGGTGACCACCATTTAAAATAAGTATTCAGTGTTAATCCCATGAACACTGGTAAAAATCAACATCAGATACTGCCTGACCTGATGTACTGAGAGGGGCCCATCATCACTTTGGTGGTATTCCTGCCATGGAAGTATGTCCGACTCTTAGTTGCTCAGTCCTGTCTGACTCTGCAACCCCATGGACTGTATCCCACCAGGCTCCTCTGACCAGGAATTTTCCAAGCAAGAATATTGGAGTGGATAGTCATTCCCTTCTCCAGGGATTGAACCTGGGTCTCCTGCATTGCAGGCAGATTCTTTACTGTCTTAGCAACCAGGGAAGCCCCATGGAAGTATAGAAGCTGAATATAACTGTAAGGAAACATCAAATAAACCCAATTATAAATAGGCATTTTATAAAATGCTGGGAGTTACTATCAAAAAATGAGATCATTTCAGGTGAAAGGAGAAAAGAGAGACATGACAATTAAAAGTTACGCATGATCCTGAATCCCAGAGGAGAAAAAGCAAACAACAAATAAAAACCTCTAAATGACATTATTGGGACAACTGTTGAAATTTAAATATTGGTTGTGGATTAGATAACAGTATTCTGTGTTAAATGTGAACTTCCCTCACTTTGATTAAGTGTGCTGTAGTCATGTAAGAGAATGTATTTATTCTTAGGAAGTACACAGGATATATTTAGAAGGGTGTGAAGTCTCCAACCTTCTCTCAAATGACTAAGAAAAAAAATTAATGAGGCAATGACAGAGCAAAGAGGGTAAAATACAAACAATGTGTGAATCAGATAAGTGGTAAATGAGAGTCACATATAATATCTTTGCAATTTTTCTATAAGTTTGGAATTATATCAAAAGAAAAGTTATCAAAACCCTAAAAAATATGTACACAGTCAATGTTTATATACGCTTCATAGATTTTCAAACTTACATTCCCAAAAAGATGATAATACATTTTCTGAAAGAAAGAAGAGTCTAATAAACATGCTCACTGCAATCCCTTTTTGAAAAGCAACAGTGCACTTCAATAAAGAAGGCTATTCAATTGGATTTAATCCAATATTTCCATAATAATCTGTTCAGGAAACCTGGTTAAAATGGAACACCTATTAAAATCTCGCAAAATTATCAACAATCTGTGGAAAACAGTTGGAGAACCACTTGTCTAATAAATACATTTCCTACACATGGTTAGTTGAAGAAAGATTTGTGCTAGGAAAATAAAAGAAAGAGATCTACAAACACACACACACTCACTGGGGCAATGTCAGTATCAAATAATAAGAGAAAAATGACACGAATATAAAAAGAGATGTCTACATAAAATGTCCCTCCAACCTTACATAGTATGTTCCTGCAGGATATATTTTTAAAGAGAGTATAACTTTGGTAACCGAGTTTTACTTTTATCAAACCATTAACTTGAACACGTCCTGTTTCCTGTCATTTTAAATCTGATTTTTACCATGAAACATATAGGGGAATAGTTTCCATGACTTAAGTGAGCACCTTCTGTGGGCCAGGCACTGTGCAAGGCTTAGAGAATACAGTGATGAATAAGACAGAGTTCCTGCCACCCATGAGCTTCCAGTCTAATGAGGGAGATGGAAAAGTTAACACATGCACTGAACACTGTGATATTCATGAATAAGCACCAGGCTTTACAGGGCAAAAAAGACACTAAACTCAGCAAAGAGTGACCGATGAGGAAAAGCTTTCTTAAGGAGGTGTTTAAACTAAATGAAATTCATGCATGCTAGACTTCTGGGAAAACATATTCAGAAGGTATTTTTAAACTTTATCTCAGCCACCCCATGTTAGGTTCTCCATCTACATAGTTTAAAAAACTATGTAGCTTTTTACATCACTGTAGCTTTTTAAAAAGGAAATGAAAACATATCCATCAGCTATCAAAATCTAGGTACACTTCAAAATCTACGGATGACTGTGACACTGAATTTGCCAAAAACCATTATCTTAGAAGTCTTTCTGAAGCACTTCCAGACTTACCTAGGTACTCAAGTGTAAGAGTACAACAGCTGGAAGACAACAGAAGAGAAAGGAGCGAACTGAAAAAGAAAGTCAGCAGTAGAACAGTGTGAGGAGACCAGAAGTGGCAGGTGCTGTTTACCTGTCAGTGGACACTGATTAATCTTGTGCTCTGTGATGTCGCTCAGTGATTCGAACACCTGGAGGCAGCTGTCGCAGCTGTGCACAACCTCGTCCTCTAGGTCCTCCCCGTCCTCCGGCCTCTTCTTACAGTCTATTGCTTCTCCATCTTCAGTCTTGTCTTCAAGCTTACAGTTGGGGTCTGAAAAAAAAAAATCAAGACTGTTAAGTATGGGGTTGAAAGACAGGTTCTTTGCAAGTCACGTTTCATCTCACTACCAAAAACAGAAACACCTTCTCCCTTGAGGCTGCAAAAGGAGGACTTTATTGCAGATTTTATTTCAGAAGCATCAAAAAATGAGTCTTCCCTAAAATCTGTCAGTTCCTGATGACTGGAGCATCTCTCCCCCAATACAGAGCCCTTTTCCCAACCCCTTTCAAATAATTTGCCACCCTTAAGGTTAACTTTGACATTTTTTCACAGCCTTTTTTTTTTTTTTTTTTTTGCTTACAAGAGAGAGATAAATCACTTTTGAAATTAAACAGTCTCCAATGCAGAGGGGAAAAACCACCGGGCTTGAGAATGAATTCCTTTTCTGCTAAATATACTCTTTCACAGGAAATTACCAGAATTAACCAAAAGTCTAGAATAAGCTAATTACCATAGGCACGAAATTGACCTTTACTTATAAACTGGTCAAAACACACAGTTACCCCATTATTTGTTAGACGGCAATAGCAAAATAAGCTCCGCCACACAGCAAAACATTCTTGCAAGCACAAATTCAAGTGTACATACATTGGTATGTCGCTTGGCTTAAAAATCATCAAGAAACAAAACAAAATATAAAAAGAGCAATTAGAGATTGTAAATGAGTCAACAACTTCAACTGACATTACCAGCCTCAAAGACCTAAATAGTGGGAAAACTAAAAATAGTTCCATTCTAACCCTAAGAATGATACACAAATAGCAAGAGGGACTAAGACAGATGTTTTCCCTGAGAGCTCAATAAATATTTCGTGATTTCTTATGCTGTCTTTTGCCTCATTTTAGAGAAGTACCCCCAAATATTTTAGTGCCACTGCCCCTCTTTGCAGGAAAGCAGAGGAAGAGAGAGAATGCCTCTTTAGGGAAAATTGGGATAATAAAATCTGTGACTTCGTTCACAGAACATTCATTTCGAATAGCAGAAAGTCCTCCAAAGTCAGAAATAAATTATGTCTCAAAACAATTTTCAGTGAAATGGTTACAAAAGAATTGTATCAAGGTACCTAAGAAATATGTAATATGTTATCTGTAGTCATTTTTTTTTAATATGGAGGATAAATATTTGAAACGTTGTAATCCAGAATTCACAGGATCAAATGAGCCCAGACTTCATTGGAAAGTCAATGAATGCCATCAGCCCCCCATCCGGCTGTCGAAATTTCTGCCACTCTGCATGCCAGGTGCTTCTGCAAACCTGCTTCTACAACTCACAGTGCTGCCCTTTGGCTGGTAGTTGCTCCAAAGCCTTTCTTCACATCTGTAATAAACTTAACTATATCATCACCCTTCAAACGATTCCCATATGCCCAAATCAACTCACGTTTCAACATAGAGAATGACCTCTTGGGTTCATGAGACAAAAGCAGAATCCCCAATTCAAAGAGCAAGTAGTTTTTGTTTGTTTTCAAACAAGAACATCGGGTTAAAGTAAAATGATAATTCGGGTTGATTTGTCATCTGGAAAATTATTATCTCCATACTCTATGCAGTATCCATTTCAATATACTGAGTTATAGACTGCTCATCCCTGGGGGAGTGATCACAGGACCTTTTTCATTTGCCCTGTCCTTTGCCCAGCATAGCACTATGTCCGGGTGAGTGCTTAGTAAATAGTATTTAGTGATGACGAGAATGGAGAGGAGAGAGGAAAAAAGGAGTACATTAAAAAGTCCTTTCCTGGTATTTTTCCTGTGAATGGGAACAGACCAGTTTATCTCCAAATTCAAAAGCATCTACATGCCTACATCTTCGAAAGCTGATGCTATGTCAAAGCATCACATTCGCCTTCACTGGTTTCAAATGTTTCATCTAGCGCTTCAGAGGCAACAAATAGGTAATGATTCAAAGAGCTCCACCAAGCTAAAACCAAGCGGTAAAATACTGCCAAATTAGAGCCATTCAGGAAAATAAGTAAGTGTTCCCACTATGGCGAACTGGCCCCCGCACCCATTCAACCCTTGGTAGAAGGCAGCAGGCGCATACTGAACACTCTTGGTTGTTTAACATGAGTTTCCAGTTTCTCATAAAACTGACAGCACTCAGGGAAATGTGGGGGCTGGGTCTGAATTTTAATATGATTATTTAAATGCTACGCATCAAGTCTGCAGGCCTGTTTGTTTTTAAATAAGGAGACACTCTGAATACTTTAAGTAGTATGCAGAGAAAATGATAAGAACTTGCCTCCCTTATTATTCAAGAATATGGGCACTTTACGCGAATCCAAATCAAAAATATCAAACAAATAGGAAAGCCTGCATGATGCTTTAGGTCTTAACAGCTAAGGAATGACCCCGTCCATGCTTCTGACACTGTGGCTAGTTATTAAAATGAGGGTCACTTTAAGACTAATAAAACATGGTTTTGCTTCCACTTCTGCATTTACAGATAGACTCCTTCAGGGACTGAAGTCAGTCAAGCTTATTCACGTCTGCTGCAACTTCAGGATGCAAGCTCCAGCCAACTGGCGAATTTGTTTTTAGGTCACCACTTAAGAGGGACCCTCTGGGGGGTGGGTGCGATTACAGCCTCTGATGCCTCAGTGTAGCATAATGAGCTCCGGAATCTCAGGCTCTCTCCTAACGAGTAGGTTGTTGTTGAGTTTTGTTTTTTTTTTTTGCCAACCTCCATGTCCATGAAGAATTCGCTGTTGCCCATTCAAAAGATGCATTTATTTGTGTTACGAGTTTCCACTCCTAGTGGCGCTGGAAGATTCCAGAAAGCTTACACTGTCAACCATGTCTTTCCCACAGGTGGCTACACTTCAATAATTGCACATGGCCTTAGTTAGGTAGTTTTTATAAAGTCCTTTGAGAGTCAATCATAAAAAATAATTGTATTACTCTGCTAGCCATTCAAACCTCTGACTTCAACCTAAGGGGTTATAAATACAGGGTCCATGCCTGTGAGCACTGCCCCACCCCCAACACCACTGCAGGACGGACAGCTGTTATTCCAACTCTCTTGTTGTACTACAAACCCTCCCAAAGGGCAATATTTTAAAGTACCTGCCCATCTCCCCTCCCTGCACTGTGACTACAAACTCCATCACAGCTGCAGGCACCATTCTGCCCGCTGCCCTGAAGGAGGCCACCCAAATGCGTTTCATCCATCACTCACGACCTCACACGCCCAGTCAACTTTCTGGCTCATCCCTTCAGAAAGGGCCCTATGAGGCACTGGACTTAACAGTGTTTGAACTTGGATAAAGGCTTAATTTTGGAACAAAGACATGATTATTATTATAAAAATAAACGGCGGCTCTCTGTTTTCAATTGTGTTAACATTACTTATAAGTGGAAATTTAAAAGAAGTGTGATTTTTCCCCTTATTACGTTCCCTGGCAGGTGGTTTCGTCCTTCTTCTCATCCTCTTCTTCATAAGGGTTGTTATTGCTACAACTTGGTTTAATAAAATTACAACTTTGGGGAAAATGAAAAATTGTGCTGGCTTAAAAGTGGTGGAGGCAATAAACCCATGGACTTCAATTAATTTCAAGTGTGGGATCAGTTTAAGGCCAACCAGCAGAAATTCTATTCTGTCCATGTAAAAATGAGGTTTCACCACATTTACTTTTTATAACCTATATAAAAGTCAAGTAAAAGTAATGAATATCTAAAAGCCATCTCAGTGGACTGGCAAAGACTATCTGTATTCTTGAAACTCATCCTACATATTTCTCTCTGTGCAGCAACGATCCCAGGCCTGATCAAAGTTAAAAAATGTCAAACCACTGAGAAAACAGCCCAATTTCCAATCCATCTCACTGCCTAGAAATGGACCTCCTTCCAAGCCACTTTTGCATGGAAAAGCACTGGCAAAAGTAAGAAAAACTAAGAGATCATGTGGTTATAATTATTACCAGGCAAGGAATATTTCTGCAGCTCAGTGGTAAAGTAAAACTCTGTCGCTTTCTGCTCCCAATAGTGTCCATCGCAAAACAACTGCCTCATTAAATCTCTGCAGTAAGATTAATATGCCGTAGCCGCACTACATTTATAACTTGGTACTCTATAAAAAGCACATTTAATGGTAAGAGCCAGAGCCTAGATACAAAGTATTACTATAAAAACTTCTGGCAACGAGTACACAGTGCAGGCCCTCTGTCCTTCTTGCCGGAGATATAAATGAGGCTTTTTCCTGGTGGATTCTAAGCATGAGGCTCTACCTTACAAACCAGTCTGTTTTTACGAGAGTGGCAGAAACACAGGATTCAGAGGATGATGTAAATATGAATGCAAGAAGACTACTTAACAACTAAGATTGGCAAGAGATGAATGAACCCAAAATACTCCACTTAAACACACACGCAAACTTAAAAACTGGACCATTTCCTAACAGTTTGTTCTCTGGTCATAGCCAGCTTTTCACCAGATTAAACAACCATGGCATGAATTACTCAATCTTAAAGCAACCCACACAGTGCCAGTAAGTTCAAGAAAATACCAGCTAAAATATGCACATTGCCTTAAAAAAAGAACAAGTCTTGGCTTCATGTGAATACCATGACCTCCTGGATCTGAATCACCTAAAACTACAAAACACTAGATGTTCAATAAAAAGTGAGCTCAACACAACATTATTAGTGGACTAGTAAAAGTATGTTTTTGTTATTTTGGAAAGCTGCCTAAGTTCTTTCTTCCAAGGATATCTTCTGAAAATAAAAAAAGCATTATAACCCTAGTGTCTTATTTTCAGGAACTCTATGATGAATAAGTCAACAGATAATTTAAACACATGCATTCCACACTCAAATGTCCCCAGATTGCTACGAATGATGCACCTCAAGTGAACAATAAGCTTGTGCCCAAATAATGGATGGTCTGATGTTGTTTTTAAAGTTCACATATAGTCACAGTGACTGGTCTTCTAAGGTTTACTGAAGTCCCACACCTAAAAAGTAAACCAAAGACAACTCTTACTTAGAGCACACCA